AAAATGGCAGGGCTGGGGGTGAAAGCATTTTTAGAGCCACCAGTGCTGGGGACTGTTTGATCAACAGTGCTGGGGACCAGGAGCGGCTCCGGGATCTTGGGGAGGGAAGCCCGGAGTACAGATGACAATATTGTACTGCGGGTGACAATATTGTACTGTAGGTGACAATATTGTGCTCTGGGGGACAATATTGTACTGTGGGGGACAGTATAATACAATATATCACAGGTGACAAAATTGTATCGTATCACAGGTGGCAATATCATATTGCAGGTGACAATATCGTATTGTGGATCACAATATCATATCATGGGTGACAATATTGTATCAATCACAGGTGACAATATGGTATTGTGGGTGACAATATCATACCGCAGGTGACAATATTGTACTGTGGGGTACAATATCATATTTGTGGGTGACAATACTGTACTTCAGGTGACAATATCGTACTGTGAGTGACAATATTGTATTTCAGGTGACAATACCGTACCACGGGTGACAATATTGTATCACAGGTGACACTATCATATCATGGATCACCCCAGCTCCCCGAGGAGCCGTTCCCAAGGGACAGGTCCCCAGATCCTTCTGGCCTGGGAGCCAGGGCTCATCTCCCCTCCCTCCCTCCTCTGGCACAGACTCCAGCACATTGTTTCCCGCTCAGACTCATGCACCCTGCAGGGATGTGCTGTGAATTACTTCCCAAATTATGTGAGTAATTAAAATCAATGAGAGGGTATCCTGTTAAGTAACGTAATTAGATGAGCACAGCAGGGAGATGAGTGCAATGGTGGTTTTGTTCTCCTGCCTGGAGACAGCTTTTAACTCTTTCCCTCTTGGCTCTCCCCTGGGTCATGCCAGGAAAACGCCTCCCCTGCTTCCCTCAGAGCTCCTTCCATCCCGGGGCTGTCCTTCCCCACAGTGCCCATCCCTGGTTATGTGGGGGACGCTGGCAATGCCCCAAAGCTGAGGGCTACAAACACCTGACCCTCTGTGAGCACAGAACTGCCCTTGGATCCCTGTTAATCCAGAGCTGGGAGAGGACAGCAGGGCCCTCCTGCCCTGAGCTGGGCATGGAGCCCCACAGATGGAAATGGGATTGTCTGAGGTGCAGAGGAACTGTCTGAGCCATCCCTGCAGGTCCAGGCAGTACCCATTGCCCACTCCAGGTCCCCATGGACAAACAGCACCTTTCCTATGGCACAGAGGCTTCGGGGCTGCCCTAATTCCAGCGAAATGGAATGGCTGAGGAACCCAAGTGCTGAGAGCTGTTCTGGTTCCACCTCTGCTTCCTGTAGGGCAGGAGGAGCCCCAGCCCATTGAGACACTCGTGGAGAGCTCTGTCCTCCAGCCTGGAGTGCTGAGAGCTCCTGGGGGCTCTGGGAAGGGTGGAGGCATCTGCCCAGATGGCTCTCACTGCAGGAATGGGATCTAAATAATTAATTTATAGTGCAGTGTTCAGGCCCTCGCTGTGTCCCAGAGGAAAGGCTGCAAGTCCTTCACCTGGGGGTTGTTTTCTCCTGCTGTGATACATGCAGAGATGAGGGGCTCTGTGTCCTGTGGGCCTTCAGCTCCCCTGTGATTCCCCAAGATGTGTCACATGGAATTGTCCCATGAAATCACACCATGGCAAAGGAGCTGAACCCTGCTGGGGACAATCCCCGGCGTGGGGACACCAGGACCCCTCCCCTGGAGGGGCTGCAGGGTGAGAGGCTGCTCTGGGGGGATTTCAGCACTCAGAGCCTGGTGGAGCTGGCTGGGGCAGGGTGCAGGAGGAAGGGACAGGTTTGGCTGTCTGAGGTGCCCTATCCCCTCCATCTCTGGGTGATTTACAGCTGCCGTAAAACCCCTGCTGAAGGAGGACTTTTGCTCCACTTTCCTGGCAGTGCAGCTTATCTCCAGAGAATTTCCCAACACTCTGGAGCTGCAAACAGAACGTTTCTCCCATTCCTCTTAGGAATAAATAGGAATATCTCTGTTATTTGCCTCTCTAAGCCATATATTCCATGCAAAGCTCTGACCATGCTGCCAACAACACCACATCAGCCCCACCTTTGGAAAGCAGGTGAGCAGCACACAGAGAGTCCCCTCTTGGATGATGCCGAATGCAGAGGAGCCAGCCTCTTCTCTTTCAGGCAGAGCTCCATTCAGGGCACAGGAAGCCCAGCACAAAGCCGGCCCTGAATGGTTTCCACACCATTAGCATGAGCACATGCAGATCAGGCAGCTGCAGCACCAACGCCTGGCTGCCTGCCCTGGGTGTGAGCCCCGCAATTGTCTGGAGCAGAGAGAGCCCAGAGGAGGGGAAAGCTCTGAGCAGGTACCTGGGGAGAGCTGCAGCACGGTGTGGGTTGGAAAGCACCCTAAACATGCCCTAATTCAGTCCCTGGGCAGGGACACTGCCACTGCCCCAGTTCCTGGCCTTGGGCACTGCCAGGGACCCACAGCTGCTCTGGGCACCTGTGCCAGGGCCTCGCTCCCTCACAGGGAGGAATTGCATCCCAATATCCCATCTAACGCTGCTCTGTTCCTGCCCTGCAGCAGCCCAAGCAGCCCCATCTCATTGTCAGCGGAATAAGCTGTGAAATGGGTTTGGAAATCAAGGCTCTTTAATTACAGGCACATTTGGGAGCCTTCTGGAGGCCATCTGGCCGGAGAGCAGGGTGTGGGCTCCAGCAAGGGAAAGCCCAGGGAGCAGCAGCAGCTCCTGCAGAAGCACTCCATTAACACTAAGAGCTAAATCCTCTCTTGCCATCAGGCCATATGGGCCCGAGCAGCACTCATCCATCCATCCCAGGGCTGTGCAGCTGCAGGGCTGGGTGCCTGGGAGCCCTGGGTGTGCTGCTCACCCAGCCCCGGGCTGAGGCTGACCAGGGATTTCCATAAATCCCAATGCTGACCAGAGATTTCCATAGATCCCAATGCTGCCCCTGCCATCGCTGCCCTCCCAGGCAGGCCCATGGGGAGCCTCCTCCTCCTCCTCCCATTACTGCCCCGTGTCTGGGATTAGCCACTCACTCCTATCAGCCATGCAGAACGCAGCCAGGGCCTCTTCACACACTGCCATTGTGCTAATTAGCTGGGTTTCATACTCAATAATGGAGAACAATTTCGTGGCAGTTTCATGAAGGGAAAAGAGAGGAGCAAAAGCCATTATAATTTCAGGAAAAGTCCCTGGAGAAGTGAAATGGTAATTCACAAATCCAACTCTGATCCAGTAGCAGATCCTGCTCTGGAGAGTAAATTAGGGAGGATGTCTGGCTTGGGTGATATTCTTCATTATTTGAATGTCTATAAAGAATATTTATTAAATATTTTTTTCTCTTAAGAACTTTGAGATGCAGCTGCATTTTCTCGCTCTTTCCAAGCGTTTGAAGCCTAGCCCACACTGGATTTGTCACTGCAAACACCCTGGAAAATCCTATTTTAATGCAAAGCTGCTCCTCTCTCTGGAAAACTCCTTCTCTTTGGTGACCCTCTGGAAAGCAGAGGGGAGCTGACAAACAGGATGAGCTGCTGATAAAAGAGGAGGAAAACAAAATGCTTCCCAAGCAGCCTCTCAGCATTCAGAGAAAGGAGAAAGGGGGAAGCAGCAGCCCTGGAGCCCACAGGAGGAAGGACAAAGCCTGCTCGGGTTCCTGCAGCAGTGCTGAGCTCGGGGGCTGCCCTGCTCCTCTCCTTGTATGGGCACAAGCAGGGCCTGCCTTGTGCCTATATTTAATTTGCAACGCACAACAGGAATTCTGCCTGCGCTGTGCTGGCCTCAGCCTCGAGAAGCTCAGAAGGAGCAGAGCTGGGTGTTTAAAATAAAGAAACAAAGGAACAAAATGTAAACAATGGTTATCTGCTGCTGCGGAGTGCAACAGGTGCATCTGTGATTGGCCTATGTTGGATGTTTCTAATTAATGGTCAATCACAGTCAGCTGGCTTGGACACAGAGCCCGAGCCACAAATCTTTGTTATCATTCCTTCTATTCTATTCTTAGCTAGTCTTCTGATGAAACCTTTTCCTCTATTCTTTTCGTATAGTTTTAATGTAATATATATCATAAAATAATAAATCAGCCTTCTGAAACATGGAGTCAGATCCTCATCCAAGAAACCCTGTGAACACCATCTCACTCCCCATGGCTGTGCCACATCCCTGTCCCTGTGCCCCTCTCCAGCCAGCCCTGGGGCCCTTCCCTTGGCAGCAGCCTCTCCCCAAACCCCAAACCCCTGCCCCTGTCACTGCTGGGGGGCAGGAGGGATGGGGATGGATGGGGATGGATGGGGAGGGATGGGGAGGCTGCAGGAGCCCTGCAGGCTCAGGCTGAGCAGGGGCTCACTCTGCAGCAGTGCTGGCAGCCTGGCAGGGAGCTGTGCCATGATTTACAGCCTCTCCTGCAATGGAAGCTCCCCACACTGCCCAGCCCCAGGTGGGAACAGCCAGGGAACCCCCAGAGTGAGAGAACAGAGCCAGGGTGTCCCAGAGCAGAGTGAGACAATCCCACTTTATTGGAACTCTCGGAGAGTCGGACACTGAAGAACTTGGTTCTGTCACAGCAGGGTTTGTACAACAGCAACAGGAACACAACAGGAGATGGGGCACTGAACTTTGCATCTGGGAGAAAATCCAACCATGAACTTCAGCAGTGCTGTACCTGCAACAATCCACAGGGACAAGGGGAAGGGGCAAACCCACCGAGACCCTCGGTCACAAACCCCTGTAAGGAGCCTTGTGCCCCCTGGCTGGACTGGCAGGGGAGGGAGAGATGCTGGCAGGGCACCAGGGACACAGTTTAAGGGGAAACCCCCCCAAAGTCAGGGGTCTGGCCCCCACTCAGCAATTGTTCAAGTCTTATAAATTCAAATTATTTCTTTCCATTTAAATAACAAGTGCTTCAGGTACAAGGCTTGGGATGCCAGGTTTGTAACCCAGTTTCAAGTGCACACAAGCAGGAATAGATTTTTTAAACAAAACTAAATATATATATATATATATATTTGCACACTCATACACACACATGCACACCGTGGATTTTGTGCTGCACCATTGAGCTGGAGATGATGGAATGGGCCTGGCACCAGGAGCTGCTCACCTCTGGCACCACTCACCCTAAAGCTGCTAAAGATCTGCATTATTTTTGCCAATATTGGTCCCCAAAGGTCTCCCCACGAGGAGCTGCTGCTCAGGCAGTCCCTGGAGCTGGGGTTGTGCAGAAAATTCCGTGTGCAGCATTTCTGCAGGATCCTCTCTTGTCAGAGTCCCTGAGCAGGTGGGCGGCCTCCAGCTGGCGGTGGGTGTGGAGATGCCGGGCAGAGCGGGGCTGTGAGAGGCTGGGCAGAGCAAGCTCACACCCACACGGCCGTGTTGATGTCAAACCCTGCCTGGCTGTAGTCTCTGGGCTCGGGCACTTTCCTGGTGCCCACCTTGGGGAGCTCACCACGGCCCTCTGCCCTCGGGCACCGCTCTGCCTTGCTGTGGTGGCTCTGCAGGTTCCCGTGCAGGGGCAGGTAAAACGTGCCCTTGAGTTTGCCGATCTTTTTGGACCTTTTGGAGATGTGGGGCTGTTTGTCCTCGGGAGGGAGCCAGCAAGGCTTCTCCTTGAGCAGCCTGTCGCGGTCCGGCCGCACGCTGCGCAGGAACTTCTTGAAGATGTTGGTGGTGAGGGAGAACTTCCTGCAGAGCTCCTGGGACCTGCTCAGGGACAGGGAGGCCTCGCCCTTGTCGCCCTTCTTGTCCAGCTCGGGCAGGTCCAGCCAGTTGCCCACCAGGTCTGCGAAGATGTTGTCGCCCAGCACCAGCGGCTGCCGGTTCCTGCTCTGCGACATCAGGGACGAGGTCCAGTCGTGGCCATCGTCGCAGCCCGGGCACTCCTGGCACGGTGGCCACGCCCCAGCCGTGCCCTGGCTGGGCTCCGGTGCCCGGGGCACGCAGGAGGGTCCTTTAGGGGGGCACACGCCGTCCCTGCAGAGGCTCTGCGAGGAGCAGGGGCTGTCCCGGGGCCGGTGGCTCTCTGGGGACGCAGCAGGCTGGCACAGGCCGGCTGGCCGTGGCACGGGACACGCCAGGGACGGGGGGCAGTGTCCCTGGGTGTCCCCCAGCCCCGTCCCCGCGCTGCTCCTGCAGCAGCGGCGCTGCTCCGAGAGCTCCAGGTGCTCCAGGGCCGTCTGCACCTGCAGCAGCTTCAGCTCCTGCAGGGCGCCCATCATGCAGTTCATCTGCTCGTGCAGCCCGTCTCCCACCTCCTTCATGGACAGCTGGGGGGAGAGAACAGCGGGTCAGGGTCCCCAGGGTCAGGGTCCCCAGCATTGTCCCCATGGGTCAGGGTCCCCAGCAGTGTCCCCGTGGGTCAGCATCCCCAAGGTTCAGGGTCCCCAGCACTGTCCCCATGGTTCGGGGTCCCCAGCACTGTCCCCATGGTTCAGGGTCCCCGGCAGTGTCCCCAGGGCAGCAGAGCAGGGCTGAGCAGCTCTCTGGGCCATGCCCTCCCTCCTGGCCACCTCTGCCATCCATCCCACCTGCACTGCACCCACTTCAGCCAACAGCACTCTGATTCTCCTTAGATTTCTCTAGGTGCGTCCCTCTAGGATTAAGAGGAGCTGACAGAAATGGATTGTTTGACCTGACAACAAAAATAAAGAGTTTGGGTTCCCATTAATTGCTTGGCAGAAGCCCAAGGTGTAGAACTATGAATGGTTTTGGCTGCTGCCAGTTTTAGAATGTTCTTGTGCTTTTGTGTCCATTGTGCCCTGCTGCCAGCTGAAATCAGGAGCCAGAACAGAGCCCTGCTTCCTCACCTGAAGCGCTCAAGTAGATTAAAAATAAATGCCAGGAAGAATTGAATTGTTACTCCATAACCCATCTCCAGCCCTCAATGCACAGGCCCCTCTCGCTAGAGAACAATCAAAGACATTTCAATGCACTGGAAATTTTGCACAGAACAACCAACAAACTCCAAGATTACTTACATTCAAGCAGGAATTCTCTGATTCCCAGGCTAGGACCTTTAGTAGCAGTTCTGCTTCATCCCTGAACCTCACTACAAAGATTGAACTTTCTTCACCAGGCTTAAAATAAGCAAGTTATTCTCCAGAGCTTCCCAGCTCCCCCTTTATTCGCTCTGCTGCTTTCTCTCTCTCCTGCAGGATCTGGATCATATTCCCAAAGCAGCACCAGGAAACACACGGGCTCCACTTCCCAACAGCTGCCATGAGTCATTTTTAGCAGGAGGGGAGTGGGGCTGGCAGGGCTGCAGTGAGGCCGTGTCACTTCACTCTGCTGAGGGGTTTGCAGAGATTACCCCGTCCAGGCAGCTCCAGCCTACGCTGTCACCAGCACTCTAAAAAGCTCATCACCATTTCTTGCACAGATCTCAAGATTAGGGTGAAAAAGGCCAGTTTTTTCTGTTATTCTCATGTTCAGCTTTACATTAGCAAGCTTTATTTCCTACATCTCCTTCATTTTACCCAAGCTGGCTCAATTACTCGCTCTGTTTCCATCTCTGTACGTGGAGCTGAGCAGTGAGGAAGAGCAGCCATCAGAGAATTGTGACAGCCCAGCTCTCCAAGGGGAAACTGCTCCACAGTTTCTGACCACAAATCCCATTTCAAACCCCAGAACCTGGAACTAAACTCACCAGCAGGTTGCAGACATTTTTCAGAGTTTTCCTCTCAAGGAACTTGTTTATCACCCAAAATGAGCACACAACTACAAAGACACAGAAAACCTGTGCTCAGCTTCCTGATTTCACAACCCAGAGCCTCCAGCTATGGCATTTCTTAGCATCAGCAAATAAACTCCTGCTGCAGAGGTGCAAATAATGTCCCAACTGCATCCTCACCGTGTCGCTGCTCCCACCCCGAGCTGGGGCCAGCCTCAGACAGAACTGCACCTTACCTCTCCAGATTGCTGAGATGCTGCTCGTCCTAACCCTCCTTGCCTTATTAATGGCAGTCTGGTTTATCTGGGGCTTTGGAAAAAGCTGGATTTGGAGCCAGCCTGGCCCCTCATTGGCCATTCCCACCAAATCCCCTGGGCAGTAATCACGCCCTGGGGAGCGCGGGGTCCTGCCCTGGACGGGGCTCCTCCAGCCCCTCTGGCACCTGCCCTGCAATTCCCCAGCCCCAGGGAACTGCCCCGGGCCCCAGGGAACTGCCCCGGGCTGGGGCAGCTCTGCAGGGCTCAGCCAGGCCAGCCCAGGGAGCATTAACCCTTCCTGGGCAGTGCTGGGGAGGCAGTGCTGCTCACAGGCAGAGCCAGCTGCCCCACAGGGACAGACTGAGCCCAAAGGCAGCACCTCTCCCCCCGAACCAAGCACCTGGGGCTGCCAAAGCTGGGCCAGCACCAGCCTGGGCAGCTGAACTGCTGGAGAGGAAGAGATGCTCTCCTGTGAATGAGTGTGGGGGTCCTGGGCTGAGCCCTGGCAGCACAGCAGAGGAGAGGGGGCTCTGGGCTGTGCCCCCTGCCCTGGGAGGGGCAATCCCACCCCCCAGCCCCAGGGATGGGAACCCCACCCTCCAGCCCCTCCAGCAATGCGAACCCCACCACATTGCTGCACATCCTGAGCCTTCCAACCCTGCTGGCAAACACTTTTGTAATTTTGGGTTGTGCAAGCTACAAAATGAGGCAAACCAACCCCCTCTGCTTTATCTCCTGCTCTTCTCGGTGTCTGCTCAGTGTTGTGCAGAATGGAGAGAGAGGGAAGCCCAGCCCAGGGTGAAGTCACTGCCTGGTGACCGAACAGCCCGCGGGGCTTGGATTCCATCCACTTGCAATTAACAGCACTCACCTGGGAGAGAAAATTCTGGAGGGAAAATAAACCTGCCCCAGTGTCTCACTGCCAGCCTCTCCTCCTTGCCAAGATCTCAGCTCTCCCAAGTCCAGACTGGCTTCTCTGAGGCTCTCCAGAAAAGGATCAATGTCCCAGGGAGGAGAGATCCCCTCCCTGGCAGAGGGTCAGGACTGAACTGCCTGCTCTGTGACAAGAAAAAGGGATTCTGCAAATATTCAGCAGATTGGGCTGGAAATCAAATGGATGCCCTGCTGGAGGTGGTGGGAACTCCAGGCTGAAGGGACAGCCCTCACTGGCTCTGGGTCACACACTTCATGCACAAGGAACTCAGATTTGTGTCCCCGGGTGTCTCACCTGAGACACTCAGCCCTTCAACACAAGTGGTGGTTTGGCTTCTCTGCTTCCCAAAAAGCCCTCTTAGAACCAGGACAACTTGCAGATACCCAAATCTAGCTCTATACACCAGTTAAAAATCAGATGCCTCAAATTGGATCTCATTATCCCTGAAACTTTTGCAATCCCTAAAAATTGGCATGAAAAATTTGGTGCCTAATTCCGCACAAGCCAACTCATGCCTTTTGGAGCAAGACAAGTACTCGCAGGGCTGTGCTCCCCTTCGGTGCCTGGGACTGGGGTGTGCTGGGAGAGGTTCCTGCAGCCCTGAGGTGTTACCTGGCTCAGGTAACCTGTGCAGGTGGGAGCCAGCTCTGCCTCAGTGCTCCTCAGAGCAAGGCTCATTCACACTGCAGACACCCCAAGCACTGAGAACTGAAGCGCAAAACTCAAAATTCCAGTTCCAAATGATCATCAGGGAATATTCAACATGGGGGGAACCAAACCAAAGCCACCAGAGCTCATACACAGAGTGGTTTCTGCACTGGCAGCGCCCCATCCTGAGCAGCAAAGCACAACTGCTTTGGAAGCCACCCTGTCCATGGTCTCCTCACCCCAAACAATAACCCACGACTGCTTTGGAAGCCACCCTGTCCATGATCTCCTCACACCAAACAATAACCCACAACTGCTTTACCCAGCTGGTAAATCACTGATCTCCACCACTGATTCACAGAACCTGGCCCAAGGAACCTCCTCCAGCAGTTACTGGCATTTCACCAACCCCAAACACCTGAGATCCACAAACAAGGGAGATTTTCCTTCCCCTTCCCAGGTAAATCAGTAACCTTTCCCAGCCCTTTGGGAACTGGTGTTCCCTTCTCTGAGCTCTCAGGATCAGTTCCAGCCCATCTCCTGCAGCCACAGCCCAGCCCCAGCTCGGTGCTGCTGATGGAAAGGAAAAGCCCAGAGCTGGGAAGAAGAGCCCTGAGTGTGTTTGTCAAACCAGGAGGAAGACAGATGTGCAGCTCTTAGGGAAAAGAAATGCACACAGAGGAAGTTATTGCTAAGAGGACAGGAAAGAACAAATGGCAAATAGTTTGTAATAATAGTTCTGATGGGCAACAGAGGCAGCACCAAACAATTGGTATTTAAAGCAGATGACATAAGAGAGACTGAAATTATTTTAGAACTGCTGAGCTGACCATATTGTTTCTGTGTTTCCCTTTGGGTCAGTAACTGGATTAATCTCCTGCAAGCCTGCAGTTGTGGCTGGCCATGGCCTTGCTGCACACAGAGCTCTCCCCAGCCCCTCGTTCCACCTTTCTTCTCCTTCCCCTGGAGCATGCCAAGGGCCTGCAGCTCTCCTTCAGTCCTTGCATTTTATCACAATCATTTCAAGTCTCTCTTTTACCTATTCCCAGGGTAGGTGTGCATGGGATGCTGACCGTGAGCTCACAGTTTATCTGAAAGAGGAAGGATGCTGAAACTGAACCTGAGACTCCCCCTCACAACAATTTCAACAGACCCTCAGCAGATGTTAACCATGACAGATGTGGTTCACACCACTCCATTACCCACCTTCCTTCCCACTGCAAGGATATTGTTTGTGCTTCCCAGTCACACTCCCTGTGCTTAAAGGCAAATCAGAAAAATCAATTCTCCTCAACCAGGATAAAAATGGGCCAAAAATAACTCCAATCTTCAGATTTCACTCACAGCCCAAGGGTAAGAGAGACCACTGGCCACCGAAGATGATGGTTAGAAGTGTCAGTTCTCAGCCCAGACCTGCTGTCCTGGGAATCTGCTCTTTAACATTCCTGATTATGTGAAACTGGTAGTCTGAAAAAATCCACCCTCATCTTTAGGTGGCTGCTCTGGAAATAACCCAGAGGCCAAACCTGTGACTGCCTTCTGTCCCCAGTTAAACATGACAGGACATCTGCTGCCAAGCCACTCCTTTGCACCTTCCCCTCAGAACACCAAGGAACGAGATCTGTGACACCACCCACCCTCCTGCAGCAGGGTGAGGTCACCCAAAAAGGGACCTGCACTGCTTGGAGCTGCCTGTTCCCATCACCCAAAAAGGGACCTGCATCACCTGGAGCTGCCTGTTCCCATCACCCAAAAACGGCCCTGCATCACCTGGAGCTGCCTGTTCCCATCACCCAAAAACGGCCCTGCATCACCTGGAGCTGCCTGTTCCTGTCACCCAAAAAGGGACCGGCATCCCTGGGAGCTGCATCCCTGGGAGCTGCCTGTTCCCACCCGCTGCAGCTGCAGCAGTGGCCCCGGACCCTCGGGCTGTCCCTGGTGCCTGGCACACTGCACAGCACCCGAGCTGCCCCTGCAGAGAGAGCAGGATGCAAACGCAGCACAGCCCTCGGAGCGTGACACAGTTACCGGAATAGGACCCGGTGTCAGACAAAGAGGAAAAATAATTGGCTGTATTTGCAGCCGGACCCAATGTTCTATTCCTGCAGGATATTCATAGCAAGAAACACTGTCTACCAGGACATAAATTAATGTAAGAAGGGAGTCAGACTCTATCAAACTCAGTAATTCAATGCGTTTATGACAAACGTGCAGGAAGAACATTAAAAGTTCCAGTCAGAGTGGTGACTGAAATACTTTTCCTCCCAGAAGAAAGCAACAGAAAGCCCAGATATATCCTGGATTCATCTGCCAGACCAAAACATGCCAAGCGAGGTTACAAGCACAGCCAAGTAAGGTTAATGTGGCTGTGCCCCCTGGCCTGTTACACCACACAACCCCACGTGCCAGATGAATCTGCCCCATGGACTCAGCAGTCCCAGACACAAACCAAGGATTTCTTCCACCTGCAGAGAGCCCCAAGCCCCATCCCACAGTCCATGGGTGGTGCTGGGCACACCAGTGCTGCCTGTCCTAGTGTCTGAGGGTGCAGCAGGCACTGCCATGTGCAGCACAGAAATAAACTCCTCTCTGCCAATTCCCCAGCCAGACAGCTCCTGCTAACCTGAGCCTTCAGCTGAGATAACTCTGTGACAGTTCTGCTGTGCCTCAGGACAACGCCTGCAGATCCCAAATGCACCAAAGGGCTCTGGGGATGGGGATTGATGGCAGGAATGGCACCCTCTCAAGCTCTGGGGCACATTTCACAAGTGCCAGGGGAGGACAGATGGCAGGAGTGCAGGAGCACAGCCTGTTATTCCATCACCAGAGCTGGAAAGCAGCACGTTCCCAGCAGCCACAGTGCACCCATGAACCCCAGGGGCTCCCAGAGCAGAAAAGGTCTCAAGCATTTCCTGCAGCCGAGGTGCAGAGAGCTGGCACAGCCCTGGGAAAGCTGCCCGGGCCGAGGGTGCCCCGCTCCCAGGGATGAATGGCTGTGTCAGCTGAGGCTCCCCAGCGCTGCTGTGGAAGCTTCTGAATGGATTCCAATCAAAGGGACGCCACACATGCCAGAAACGATCAGCTTACAATGGAAAGCAGGCGGCTGCAACGGGAGAGCTCTCCCCGCTGACTGAAAGGGGTCAGATTGATCCTGGGCAGCCCTGGCACAGCTTTCCCCAGGAAACAGGGAGAGCAGGGCAGTGCCCACTGGCTGCCTTGCCTGGCACAGCTCACACAGGTGACACAGGGGGGCCCCCAGCCAAACACACCAGCCATTAAATGTGGTTTTAGTAAACAAAGCAAGGGAAAGGAAAAACAGAGCTGGAATCCTCCTGTCTCACGCTGCTGGGGGATTGAGTTGCACTGGAAGATAGCCTTTCCTTGGGAACTGGGAGCTGTGCCAACATCCACTATTTTCTGAGAAAATCCCCTCCTCAAAACTGGCCAAAAGTCTGGTTTGCCACACCAGAGGCTGCCTGCACCAAGACAAACTGAACTTCTGCTAATGGGACAGTCTGTAACCCTGCCATGTGACACTGGGCAGCCCCAAAGAGCCTGGCTGGTCACCGAGGGAAGTTCTGCAGAACCTCCCTGCACAGCAGGGCTGCTCCTTGGCCACAGCACAGCCGGTGTGTTCCTAAATGCATGGGATGCCCAGAGACGGACTCCCCTGTGCCCGCTCCGGTGGCCAAAGCCATTCTCACACTCCTGCCCACGTCCTGTGGCTCTGGAGCAGCCCAGGCTGGCAGGAGCTGCCCCGCAGCGAGGCAGAGGCAGAGGCAGAGCAGCAGCTGCCCAGCCCATGGGGCAGATGGGCCCAGCTGGCCCCGGGCCGCTCGCTGCCCTGCACAGAAACGCTGCTCTGTTTTCATTCCAGGCTGCGGGGACACGAGGGGTTCTGACAGGCTGGGATCGCTCAGGGCAGCACCGAGGGGCTCCAGTGCTGCAGCTCCCACCGTCCCTGCAGCTGCAGGAGGAGGAGGAGGAGGAGGAGGAGGAGGAGGCCCAGCCCTGTCCAGCTGCACCATGCGCAGGTCCCCAGAGCCGCTCACACCGCTGGGATCACCCGTGTGAAAGGAAGTCCTGAGCAACAAAACCGGGGCTGTGGGAGGGGAACCAATGGGGCTGCTGAAAACCCAATGTACAGAGACACAGAGACACAGCGACACAGCGACACAGCGACACAGGCTGCTCCCGGCCCAGTCACAGCTTGTGCAGCTCAAGGTGACAACTGCCCCTTCCCAGGTTCCAACTGCCCCTTCCCAGGGTGACAACTGCCCCTTCCCAGGTTCCAACTGCCCCTTCCCAGGTTCCAACTGCCCCTTCCCAGGTGACAACTGCCCCTTCCCAGGGCTCCAACTGCCCCTTCCCAGGGTGACAACTGCCCCTTCCCAGGTTCCAACTGCCCCTTCCCAGGGTGACAACTGCCCCTTCCCAGGTGACAACTGCCCCTTCCCAGGGTGACAACTGCCCCTTCCCAGGTTCCAACTGCCCCTTCCCAGGTGACAACTGCCCCTTCCCAGGGTGACAACTGCCCCTTCCCAGGTGACAACTGCCCCTTCCCAGGTTCCAACTGCCCCTTCCCAGGGTGACAACTGCCCCTTCCCAGGGTGACAACTGCCCCTTCCCAGGTTCCAACTGCCCCTTCCCAGGGCTCCAACTGCCCCTTCCCAGGGTGACAACTGCCCCTTCCCAGGTGACAACTGCCCCTTCCCAGGTTCCAACTGCCCCTTCCCAGGGTGACAACTGCCCCTTCCCAGGTTCCAACTGCCCCTTCCCAGGGTGACAACTGCCCCTTCCCAGGTGACAACTGCCCCTTCCCAGGTGACAATTGCCCCTTCCCAGGGCTCCAACTGCCCCTTCCCAGGGCTCCAGCTGCCCCTTCCCAGAGTTCCAACTGCCCCTTCCCAGGGCCTCAAGCCAAGCATACGCAGATTTATGCCAGGCTAAGTCATGGTTTATTAATATAATAAAAACTGTTGCATTTTTATAATTAAAAAAATAAATTCCTGCATTATAGCAAGGACTGAACAAAGCCAGAATTTTCTCATTTAAAGTATTTTTTTCTGGCTTTCATATTAAGTGTGAGGAATGTCCCTTTCTGTTGAATATACTGACTCTACAGAAGTTGTATTTTGCACTACACAACAGTCATGTTTCAGACTCAGAGGTGCAATGTTTAGACTCCTCTACAAAAATACTGCTCAGATAACAAAACTGATTTGGTCAGCAGACAAAACACAGATTTAAGAACCTTATTCTTAGGATGTTCTTCTGGAAGCTACTCCTTCTCCCAGCTCAGATTTTCAAGGGCTGCCAGATTATTCTGTACATGCCCCGGTTGGCAGTTTGCATTTCATTCATCACACCCAGGGTACAGCACTCCAGTGACTCCCATTCTCCTTTGTTTTAGTTTGTCTTTCACCTCCTGTGTTTGCTGGGGAAGCACTGGGAACGACAGTAGGTTAAATGTCACTGCTGCCACGTTTATGGGGAGCAAAAGGCACTGCCCCAGCCGTGTTTCACAAGGGATGCGGGGCAGCACGGGGCTCTCCATGCCCCAGCCGTGTTTCACAAGGGATGCGGGGCAGCACGGGGCTCTCCATGCCCCAGCCGTGTTTCACAAGGCTCCGGGATGCGGAGCAGCACGGGGCTCTCCAGCCCTGGCTCTGCCCTGGGCACAGCTGCAGCTCTGCCTGCTCCTCAGGGACAGGGTCACACGCAGAGTGATGCCTGCAAGGCACAGGGAGCACGAACCCGGCTGCAATCACCTCCCTCCAGCCCATCCCTGGAGCTTCTCTCGTTCAGAAACTTCACCCAGCCGTCCTCGCTCTGCCTTGTCTTCCCCTTTTGTTCTCATTATCTATTTATCAGGATAATAACGCAGACTCCGAGCCAGCCCGGCTGGAGCCCTATTTTGGGAAGGATGGGTTCCTGCTGCCCAGCCCCGCAGGCAGCCCCAGAGCACAGCAATCCCCTCGGGCTGCGGGACAAGCCCCGGCAAGCCCCGGGACCGGGGCTACCCCGAGCAGGAGCGGCGGGAGGGCGAAAGCACCGCTCCTTTCTCACAAAGGCTCTCCTATGAAGCAAGTACTTTCACAGGCTACCGGAGGAGCCAGCGCGCTCCCTTTAGAGCCTTCTGATTCACAGAAAGTTGTTCCAATCCATCTCTGCGGCTGCTTCCCTGATTTCTGACCTGTGCTGGCAGCTGGTCCCTAAAGCCCCCGCATGCCCCCTCCGCGGTTTCTCGGATAGACGGACGGACCCCGACCCATAATCAGGACCTGCCCCTGCTCACGGGGATGGGGATGGCAGCGGCGGGACCCCGACCCATAACTGGGACCTGCTTCTGCTCACAGCGCTGGGAGCGGCGGGACCCCGACCCACAACCGGGACCTGCTTCTGCTCACGGGGATGGGGATGGCAGCGGCGGGACCCCGACCCACAATCGGGACTTGTCTCTGCTCATGGGGATGGCAGCGGCGGGACCCCGACCCACAACCGGGCCCCCCAAGCCGCCCCGCGGGTGCCCCGTCCCCCGGCCCTTACCAGCTCCTGCCGCAGGCGCCGCAGGTGCTGCTCCATGGCCCGGCTGGGCGCGGGGCCGCGGCGGGAGGGGAGGAGCGGGGGCTGTCCGGGGCTGTCCGGGGACTGTCCGGTGTCCAGGGGCCGGCTCCGGGAAGCTGTCCGGTGTCCGGGGCTGTCCGGTGTCCTGTGTCTATCCTGTGTCTGTCCGGTGTCCTGTGTCTGTCCTGTGTCTGTCCTGTGTCTGTCCGCGGCTCTCCGGCGGGGCAGGGCGCGGGGCAGGCGCAGCGCGGCGGCGGCGGCGGGGCCGCGTGTGCGGGCGGCGGGGCGGGGGCAGCCGCATCCCCCGGGCCGGCCCCGGCGGCCGCGGCGCTGCTGGAGGCGGCGGCCGCTCCTCCCGGGCCGGCCCCGCGCCCCGCCCGCCCCCGCTCCCCGCCGAAGTTGGCGCGGGAGTTCGCGGCGCCCGGCGCTCCGCACGTCGCTCCGCGGGCGCGGAGCACCCCGCCGAAAGCGCGGATTAACCTACATGGCCTTAATCGGGAGAAATTGCAAAGCCACCCGGCCGCGGTGTCCCCGTTCTGTCCTCACCGCGGGCTGTGCCCGGGCAACGCGGGGGACATGGCGGTGCCCCGGGCCGGACAGGAACACAGGGACACAGGAACACAGGGACACACGGACCGGGCCGGGACACACGGACACACGGACACACGGACCGGGCCGGACAGGAACACAGGGACACACGGACACACGGACCGGGCCGGGACAGGGACACACGGACCGGGCCGGACAGGAACACAGGGACACACGGACACACGGACACACGGACCGGGCCGGACAGGGACACAGGGACACACGGACACACGGACCGGGCCGGGACACACGGACACACGGACACACGGACACACGGACCGGGCCGGACAGGAACACAGGGACACACGGACACACGGACACACGGACCGGGCCGGACAGGGACACAGGGACACACGGACACACGGACCGGGCCGGGACACACGGACACACGGACACACGGACACACGGACCGGGCCGGACAGGAACACAGGGACACAGGAACACAGGGACACACGGACCCGGCTGGACAGGGACACACGGACCGGGCCGGACAGGAACACAGGGACACAGGGACACACGGACACACGGACCGGGCCGGGACACACGGACACACGGACACACGGACCGGGCCGGACAGGAACACAGGGACACAGGGACACACGGACACACGGACCGGGCCGGGACAGGGACACACGGACCGGGCCGGACAGGAACACAGGGACACACGGACACACGGACACACGGACCGGGCCGGACAGGAACACAGGGACACACGGACACACGGACCGGGCCGGGACACAGGGACACACGGACACACGGACCGGTGGCGATGTCCGAGCGCCCTGCGCCAGGCCAGCACACGGAGAGCCGCAGGGCCAGGTGTTCCCAGCTGTTCCCAGGTGTTCCCAGCTGTTCCCAGGTGTTCCCAGGTGTTCCCCGTGCCTGAGCGGGTTTACTTTTCCTCTCGCTGTTTCAGCCCGTGCCAGTCTCTGCGCACGCAGCAGCTCCTGGAAAACTCCGGGTGTGGGGATGTCGCAGGCACGGGTGAGCCCTTCTAAGAGCAGGATTCTTTTATCTCAGATCAGCCTCCAATATTGCTTCTCACCGCAGGACACCAAACAGATGGACAGGCGAGCAGGGACAAAAATACAAACACTTTTGAATCATCAGACTTCATAACTGCGTTGAATTTGTAAGGGTTTGAAGTTTTGAGTGTTTCCCACAAATAAATATTATTCTCATCTTATTTGCAAAATGTGTTGTTTAGATGATAAATGCTGAGTCCCCTGTGATATTTTAGCCTCAGTTGCTCTGCAATGCTAAAGAACTTGATAGGAGGAGAAATACTACTTTGTGGTTTCAAATTTGGGATTAAAAACGTAGTTACTTGGTTTTTTCCCATAAATTTCACAAAGACTGGCTAAAATTTTTGCCTCTCCAGGTCCTTATTTTTTGAAGGAAAACATTTTTATAGACGATAATAGGATTCAGTGTGTTTGCTTGTTTGTTTACAGAAACCAATTTCAGTGTTTTTGAAAGCTGACCTTTGTGTCAAAATCCAATTTAAATGGGAAATTTGCGATGTGCCCTTTCACATGTGTTTGGGAAACACTCCAGAGTTAATGTTTATTGATCCTTCCAGTGTCTGGGTTATTATGGGTCAAAATTTCCTGTCTCCCCGCTCATTTCAGGGCTCCCATTTCCCATCTGTTCAGCTGGGAACAGCATCTCTCTTCGAGGCTCTGTAGAATGTGGGGCTGTAAAGATATTAATTTATTGGAGAAATGACCTTATCAAAAAGTGAATCACTTCCAACAGGCCATGCCATGGTGTGAGTGGGTGCTTGCCAGTCCCGGCTCTTCCTTACAGTCTGAGCCAGCCAGCCCAGCGATGGTTTTCCCCTGAAATCTGGCAGGATTTGCTGGCCAACTGGCTGTTCCCCACGGGCTGGGGTCGGGTGTGGATGTCACAGCCCATCCCAGCATATGGCAGGGTGGGCAGCCAGGCAGCAGTGAGAGACTGGAAGGGTGGGATGGCCCCGGGAGCCGGAATGGCCCCGGCTGGGGCAGCTCCAGGGGCACAGGGACTGAGCGGGAGTGACCCCCAGGCCTTGCAGTGGCCCTGACAGGGCCAGCTCAGCATCAGGTCACTGCACCACTCCTGAATTTAACTTGTGGCGTCCCTCACAGTGTCCCTGACAGGGGTGAGAAAAGGGCCAGCCCAGCACTGAATTTACCTGATGCTGTGCCATTTGACTGTGGCAGTACAGCAGAGATGCCAGTGATCCCCACAGCTGCTGGAAGGACCAAACTGAACTCACACAACGTTTTACTTTTGGCACATGCCCAGGATTCAGGAGGCTGTGGCAGTACAGCAGGGGTGTCAGTGATCCCCACGGCTGCTGGAAGGACCAAACCGAACTCACATAACGTTTTACCTTCAGTGCATGTCAAGGATTCAGGAGGGCACCTGCACGTGTACAAGGCCAGTGGCAGATGCTGCAAGCTCCTGTGCCTCCTGCAAGACACCAGACTCTGTGATCTTCTGGCAGATGAACAGGAAGAGTTTCTAGGCTCTCTTTGGCTCTGCTAAGGACATCTTTTTGATCCCTTTTCCAGCCTCCGGGGCTGCTCCTGTCCCAGGAGACTGATAAAGGAGTTCAGGAGCACAGAATAAAACAATAAAACAGAATATTCATGTGCTCCAAACTCCTGGGAACTTGCAAGAGAAGAGAAAAATCTGAACTATTTTCTCAGTAGGATTTCCTTAGTAAGCAGCATTTTTCTCTTGCGTGTAGACAACTGGTTCAAAGCAGCACCGACACCTCATGCCAGGCCCTGCACTCCTCCCTCTCTGTCGTGGTGTAAACCATGAGCAGATGGTGCAGTGCACTGGAAAATCAGATCTCCGAAAAAATACAGAGCCAAGAATAAAACTCCCTGAAGCAGAAAGCTACATGGTTTATTTCAGGACAAAAAGAAAAACTGAGATCCTTGGGCAAAAATTAGAATACTCCTTCAGAGTGGAGTATTCCACTTGTGTGAACTGCCTGGTTCATTCCTGATTGAGGAAACATCCCTCCCTTCACAGCTGAAGGCTCATCTCGTTTGTTGTCTTTCAGTTCATTGATCTGGTTTCTCCAGGCTCCCACGTGACTGCTCTTTGCTGAACTAACAAGCGTGCTTATCACTGAATTTTCTTTCCTTTCGACTTTCTTGCACACTGACGACAAACCTTTCAGAATTTCCTCCCACTTCAGCTTCAGCATGACCTGAATTGCATCCATCCTTGTTTAAACCCACTGGGGCAGAAACATCCAGCCACGATAGGTAAGGCTGTAATGCCAGAACTTTGTCTGGTTTTATATTTGTGCATAAAGAGATAAAATAGCCCTGAAAATATTCCTGTTCCTTCCATTAAGTCTATTTTAGTGCATACAGTCTCTGCACTTGTGGCCTTTGTATATAAAGTTCTGACATGCCCCAGCCTCGCTATGCCCTATCCTCAAAATAAAACTTTTAACGCTGCTCCAGCCAAATTCCAGCTGCTGGCATTGCTGTGCCTGCCCTGGAGTGCCAGGAGTGAGGGGCAGGGAGCTCCTTGTGCAGCCCTGCCTTGTGCTGAGCATCTCTTGGATTTCCTCTCGGCTCGCTGCCTTCTTGTGACCTACATCCTGCTCACACGAGCTCAAAAAATAATTTAGCAAATCTTGGTATCTAAGATTAAACTGGGATGATGTTTGTTTATTTGGAGGAGAACAACAGCAGTGAAATGCTGGCATGTCTCTGTGCAGAGCTGAAATTGCTGCTCTGACCTGACCCCTAAGGTCTCCTTGCTTTTATCTGCAGCTGCACCCAGCATGTGCCTGTGCTGCCTGCCCCGTGGATTTGGGATTCCACCTGAAACCTGGGGAGTTCTCCCTGACCCTTGGGAAGAATGGGCCTGACAAGGAACCCAGTCCATTCCTCAGGAGGGCACTGAGATGAGCCTCAGGGGGATGTGAGCCACCACCATCCTCCTCCTCCTCATTATTGATGATAACTGCATGCAGCAGGCTCGCTGGGAAGAGCCCAGAGCTTTGCCATCACTGAGGGAGCAGAGAGGATTCTGCTGCTCCCAAGACTTGCTGCTCCTGCTAACGTGCCATGCAGCCTTCTTTTCCAGAGGGCAAGGATGTGCAGGGTGCCCAGAGTCAGATTTGTGGGGAATATGCAGTCGCTGTCTGTGCTGGATCAATGGCCCTTTCACTGTCCCAAGCTCTACTGTACAGAGAACAAACACAGTTTCCATGGCAGTGCAAACACAAATACAGCCCACACTCCAAAGAGTGAGTCACACGTGCTGCAGAGAACAGAGAAACTTCCCTGTCTTCATCTCAAAACATCTGGGACAGGAGGATGAGATTATCTCACTTTCAAAATATTCTACAACTATTATGTAAACCAGATTTGCTCGGAATAATTCCGTGTCTTGGCAGATCTGAAAGACAAATC